ATCTGGACCGAACTTAGTGTGCCCTGCAATTAAAAAAGAATAAAAAATAGATCGATGCAAATGTGCTATACTACGCCAGATTATAGATAKATGTATATGCAGTTGCTTTTACTTTTTGGGGACAATTCCAAAAGTTTCTTTTAACCATACCCATGACCTTACTTGCTTTCCCAGAGATCGATTTGACGTGATTTGACCACTTTGACGTGATTTGACTGTAGAAAARCAAGCACTATGCTCATGGGCATCTACAATGCATTACTCCTTCGAGTACRCTCAACAAGTCCATGTTCCCAGCAACCCCATGCAACCATGCAGGGCCTATTTATTTCAAGACCCCTAGGAAGTGCGGAATATTTGGAGTGATGTGCGAATGCATTCCGCAACAGGTGAACTTCCTCATCAATGAAGCTGGAAGCACAGGCAAAGGAGCTAACACTACAATAAGCTACGTCCACTTCTACTTTGAACAGCAGGACAAGGAGAGACAGATGTACACTTGCACGCAGACAACTGCTCAGGACAGAACAAAAACAATTTGGTATAGTGAGTCCCATGCTGGAATACGCAAGTGCCGCCTGGGACCCCCACCTCCAGAAGGACATTGCCTCCCTCGAGAAAGTTCAGAGGAAAGCTGCACGATTCTGTCCCAGGAATTATASTCCTACTGCGAGCGTCAATGAAATGTTACGCAAACTACAGTGGTCCACCTTGGAGTCAAGGCGCGAAATGTCACGGCTTATCCTCCTTTATAAAATGAGCCGAGGTCAAATTGACATTGATGTGAATACTTATCTCCGACCACACACAGAATTTAGAACTAGAGGCAGTCACAATTTTAAGTATTTCCAAGATAAGGCAACAAAGAACAAATATTTTTATTCGTTTTCCCCCAGAACTATTAGACATTGGAACTGTTTGCCAGCTGAGCTCGCCGAGCTCGACTCAATAGAGCAATTTAGACGTAATCTGCAAGCGCATCTTAAGTTTATTTAAGTTTATGCATTATATCAAATATTTGTCTTTTTACTTATGTAACAATACCTTCATTCTTAGGAACATATATATATATATATAACCTTGTTTTATCTTTTTTCCCCTTTTTTACTTGTATATAGCTTAAATTTTTATTTTAGAGTTGGTGTGAAATCAAAAGATTTTACCGACTAAATAAATGTAGATGTAGCAATTATGTTCTTTCTCTGTATAATCAAAATGTTCTTGTTGCGTCTTGACKCAGTCAGATTTTTCTTCATCTGAAACATTGCATGCACACTGTAGTTTAGAYGTATTCTCTTGGYGGGTCAKGYATAGATCGGTCCTTGGTTTTGCTACAACTAGGTTGGGACAAAACTGAGCCCAAAGTTCAATAAACTTTGTATAGCAGACGGCTCTCATTCCAGAAGACTCACAAACACTCGAATAGCGCTTCCAAACATTTGTCTTGCTCTCACAAGAAGGGAGAAGTTGGATATCGTCATTCTTATAGCCTGGKATACGACCTGGTAGTGAAATAGCGTTTTCTTCAGTGTAGTTCATAAGAAAGAGTTTTATGCCTTCGGTGGAAGCATAGGAGCTTTTTACTGTTTCCATGTTGTCTGGGGAGGATTCCATTCTTATCAAAATGTTCTTTCAGTCTATTGAATCTTGACTTGCTGATGTCATAAATATGCAGAAAGGTTTCTTTGCAGATTTTCTTTGAATGGAACATGAAGTGGCATCGGCTGTGTGGTCTTTTCTCACCAACTACATCATTTCGTGTTGAGGCTTGAATGTTAGCAAGAATGACAATGTCTACCTCTGTAGTAGAGAGTTCCAGGATGTTGTTTCAGTTGGACATAATCGTCGATTCAGGAAACTGAGTTGAGCAAGACACTCCCCTCGGGCCATAATAGCACCCGCATTCATTCTGTAAAAACGCCGTAAGCTTTTCGAAGATATGTTTTCACGACCGGTCTCTTGATATTCATCCATGCTTGTTATAATATAAGTTATAGCCGTTAAGACCAAAGCGCTATAACGTTTTTCCAAATCATTAAATGTTAAGAGCAAAATGTTATAACGTTTTGCCAAAGCGTAACGTTAAGAGGGTGTCCGTGTAAGAAGCGACCAATCTCCTCTGCCTCAAAAAATGGATAGAGCTCATTTCTAGTCGACGAAAACACTTCACCAAACTATTAATGAAAATGCATTTCTTTGCTTTCGATTCGCTTTATTTCAAAAGTTATGAGCTTTCAAATTTGGCCCTCATGAGGGTCAAGAAATTTCAAAAGGAGCAAAAGGAGGTCGTAGTCTTAACAGCAAGGAGTCCGAATACATTTTTATGACAGCAAAAACTTTAATACCAATCGGAACATGTAAGTTATCTATCATRATACTAAAACTAGATCGCCTCGTGAAAGGTAATCTGGAATCCTGATTTCAATAATATATAGTTTTGCAATCCGGATTCCGAGTCCAGGGATTTGGAATCCAGACATTATAAGAATTGTAATCCCGAACGATATTGGAATCCGGGATCCGAGCGACAGGCAACCAGATTCCAGGCCATAGGATCCGGAATCCAGTCTATAGTTCCGAATTACCTTACATGGGGCGAAACTGTGAACCATGGACATCAGGCAATGTTTCATGTATAAGGCAGGCAAATGTTAAGACTTTTAATCTATAATTTTGCACAGTAATCTGCAAGAGATGCAAAGAGCAGCTAGTGGATAATATGAAAGATTTTGTTGTTTCTGAAAAACCACAAAGTATCAATGTCGAGAGTCACCTGATAAACAAAATAGTAGCATAGAAAGCGAAGAAGAGGTAAGTGTGTTCATACATGCAATCCATTTTGAGACAGTCTCTCTTGGTCAGGTGAAATAGGAAACCCAAACAAAACCTCAAGCAATAATCATATAACAGTTGATTGATTGGATTATAATATTTGTTTKATGATTGATTGATAGTTTACTGCATGCATTGTATTTAATTAATTGCTTGATGGACTGGCGTAATTTCAGACGGCTAAGAGAAGTGATGAAAGCCCAAKTTCCACTGACGAGCTATCTAAGACAATGGAAGCGCTTTCACTGGAAGATAAAAGTTATTTCCTGTCGCCAACTGAGACTGCCAGCACAACAAAATCGAAAAAGACGCCCTAC